ACACAAAATGGAGTTTCGCTTAAACAATGGAACTCTCATCGGGAAGGCGAAACACGAAAATGGCGTGTTCGCACTCAACTTCGACTCGCCTGGCACAGTGGACGTCCGAGATCACATCCTCGTCCTTGAACCACAAAGACATCCAACGCTGCCCGCTCAGACTCATCCTCCGAAGATGGTCTAGGAAAGGCCAAGACCAGACAGACTATGCCGTGCGCTTGCCGTCCCCGTCGCCTCAACCTCAAACCCTGCAGACATAGGACGACAAGCAGTAGAAGATGAGGTCAGCTCTGCAGGAGGATGGGAAAGAGGGAACTGGTCGAGAGTCGAACAACCTACGGGTTGGGACCTGGCATCCGGCTGGGACGTTGCAGACGTTGAACAGGTTGGGTACCTTCACCCGGACAAGCAGCCAAAGCGGACGAAGGCTGGGGCGGCACTACTCAACACCCTGTAGACACGAAAGAACAAGAACCAGAAGTTACTAATGGAGCGCGAGAAGATATGATCATCAATGTGACAGAACACGCGACAGGACTATGTGCTCCTGAAGAAGTTCTACCCGAATACCACACATAATTTCGGTCACAACCGATGGGAGTAGCTTCTACCGTCTCAACACACGGGGAGTGCCAATCAGCGGCATCGCAGAAGAAGGCGTTGTTGCACAACTCGAGGAAGGCCACAGTCTTAACGAAGCCTTAAATCCTTACGAAGGTCCGCAGTTGCTCCCCGTAACGACCGACACAAGGCTTGTCGGCGACTAAGACTAAGTGTACCAAGGGACGAGGCTCGAGACTCTTCACGTCGCGACTGTCCAGGTGCTTGTGTCGGATGAACCTACAGATTGAACAACAACATCAACGGCAACAGACATATTAGCTCGGGAGAAAGAATAATATGCCCGCACACGGGGATACCGTGTCGAAGCAGACATCTGACATCAACTACTGGGACACCCTTCCGTCGAAGCTCTTAATATTTCAATCAACGCAAAAGTGTTTGCAAAAGACGCGTTAATCCTGCCCAATGGAAGCAAGCTACAGCCAAGAAAGGAATTACCCACCTTTATCGTCTGTCCGACAACCGCACTGGTACATAAACCTTTCTCAGAAAAGGTTCCCAGCGTTGAACGTTTCAAGGCGTTGGACAAAGTTTACAGCGATTTTCTATGCCTTACCGCCCGCGGCCTTAAAGGGGAGAACTACACCATAACCTTTATCAACGCAGCTACGCGCTTCGTTTGGCCGCCAATGTCTCCAACCGCAACCTCACCTTCGACTGCTTCCATTTGTGGCTAAAAATGGCACAGACACAATCAGATGGACAAAGCTTTCCAAGCGAACGAAGCAGCAAGGTACGTGAGCGAGAGGTTTAGTTCAATGCAGAAAAGGGTCTCAAGAGGATGATCTCCCTACCCTATAACCCAAGAGCAGTGGGATTGGCTGAAAGGACTAACAGGAGCCTCGCGACAAAAATGCGAGCCCTCATGACACAGTTAGTTGTGCCAACCGCTTACTGGCCCTACGCGATGGCCCATGTCGTGCGGCTGCATAACATCCTCTCCTCCAAGGCGCTGCGCAACAACAACTCACCTTTCAAGGAGTGGATCGGAGAAAATCTAGACACGCACGTGCATGGTACAATATTGCCACCATCTTGCCCGAACATGAAGATTTGAAGACCGTCCCAGATGGGGCATTGAACAGGAGTACCATGCATGGACAATTCTCGACTTCACCACCTACCAAGTTACGCGATCACGTGACTGCATCTTCTACGAAAGACTAAAGCTGCCACTGTTCCGCCAACACTGCACTGTACAGCAAGCACCAGACAACATCTTCTAGGGGTAGCACAGTTTTGCAACCAACTAGGACGAGGTTGACATTGCAAAGGAAGTTGCAGGAAATCAAATCGGAGGGGAAGCACTGATGAAAGTGCTGAAATGCACTCACCGATGGAAGAAGACCCGAAACTGGATGCCTCTCGCGACACCATTTGCGATATTCCTAGTGACTACAACGACGTGGTCGAAGTGACCAACACCGCTGACTCTAACCTCACCAGGTTACGCATACCCGGACTCGCGGTCGCCATTCACGGTAACCAGCAGCTTACCAAGCCTGTGAGAGTACAGTGGCTATGCTGACCCTTATTTACATTACCTTGCATTCTCTTGCATATTTATATTTTTCTCATGCTCGTTTCATGCTTATTCCTTAGTATTTTTGACCGAATTTCTTAAACCAAATTCGCGAAGGTTCCGTTCCCGACGGTTCTCGATGCACGAAACATTCGCGTAACATCCTGGTTACCTGCCTTGTATCGTGCCTATATATAGCCATGCGGTTGTACCCAGGATTTATAAATTACTTTCTAAACTCGATCTCGATCCTCACAGAGCCCACAACGGTTCGCCAGTCTCTGCACGGACCCGACACCGAGATTTGGAGAGCAGCCATGGCTGACGAAGCCGCTGCACTCAAACGATGTGGCA